TATATGCAGCATTTACACGCTTACATATACACACACACAGTTACTGTCTCTCCATTTAGAAAAGACCAAAGACTGCTTCTATGCGCCATCTGTTTACTCTTTCCCGTCCAGGCTTCTAGACTTCTGATTGGCCAAGATTTCTACATGGTTAGGATTATATCGGCACCTGTTGCTTTAGCCCCGGACAGACCATCACCTGACCAAGACCAGACCAAGCTCAATCAAAACTGAAATGAGGCAAAGTGAATAACTGCATTGTGGTCTGACAAATAAAGTCTAATATTCTCTGGAGATCATGAATACCGGGGTTTCAGCTTGTTATCAATACACAATTCAAAAGTTTACATCTGTGACTGTACTGGGGTCCATATCTAATAGCTTCCTCCATCTGTGAAGGCACCATTAATGCTCAATCATATTGAATGACACATTTCAAGTTTTAGGGAACACGTACTACCACCCAGATGATATATTTATCCAGAAAGTAGCTGAAGTTTGTTCAGCAAGACATTATTAAACCACATTCCACATATAATACAACAGCATGGCTTCTCCTTCGACAAGGAAAGAATACCTGGAGCCTGAAAACAGGTTACACACCGGGGAAGAATAAAGGGCAAAGTGCAAAGATTTCCACAGCTAAAGGTCAAAGGGCGTTGACTATAGAAACAAGATGAGATCAGCACAAGTTGGGTTTAATTCAGGAAAAGAGGTCAGGAATTCACGTTTAAGGTGAAAGTTGCTCTACACGGTTTGAAAAAGTGGATGCATGGACAGAAATAGGGTTGGGAAGGTCAGGGTTGACACCGGGTTAGATTTTTAGTCCTTTTACCCTGGCACAAGCGCTGCAGTGCTGATTGAGACTCCTGTAGGTTGAGTTGTTAGCAGGGATGTCACTGGCTTTTCGCAACGACTCAACGCTCCCAGGCTGACTAGCAGATACCTCCATTGGAAAGGATGGTGGACAAACAGAGATAGCAGTTACTGACCGTTTCATTTTTTATGATTAAAAAATGAGTTTTGAAGGCATTTACCTTATATTTTTGATTTGTTTTGAGTATTAGAGATAAATTAAAAAAAAATCATGTTCATATTATATCATGTGATATAATACACACAAACTTTAGGTGCAAATATCAAACTCAAGTAGATGTTCTTAGCTTTTAATTAAAGAGATACTGAGTGTAGATGTTAGTGAAAAGAAACGACTTTGAAGACAAAAAAAGACTCCTCAGGGAGACAGCTCAAGTTATTTTTGTAAAGACTATAAATGGAAGTACAAATCCATGTATTTATTTTTACTCATTGGATTGCTGTGGGTATGCACAGTATACAGTAGCTGGTTGAAATCTTGCCTCTCATTGATTAAGCCTCAGTCAGTCTGGGAATTGTTTGCCTTAGACTCACAACATCTCTCTGCTACAACTACAGGGCCAGGCGTCAATATCCCTCAGATGTATAGTTTGTGCCCTCCAACTCTGTGGGAGTAATTGTCCAACTGATGTGAACAGGGGAAGTCCTTTTCTCTACAGACCATTATTCTCCATCTCTCCTCTTTTCTCTCTGCTGTGCAGGAGGCTGGCTGTCCTGCAAACCTGCTGGACTCTCCTGCATTTACAGGGAACGCTGCCACGGGTCTAGGCTGTCTAGACTTGGAGGTGTTTAATGGGATTTTCAAAATATCCTGCTTGTTTCTCTTGAGACAAACATCTCTGTCTTACCACTCTTTAAAGACTTTTATTTGTCAACTTACAAGCTGTCGTCTCTAACAACTGCTATTCAGGACATGGATTCAGTTTAGGAGATATGTTTTTGGATGGAAGAATATGCCAGGACCAAAAAACCAAAAGATAGCACTTACTGAGGGTTGGTGTTGCAACTTTTAGACTGATCACTATTAATAAACACAAATTCAAGCGTTCCAGGTAAATAAGAAACTATTAATAAGAACAAACCAAATTGCTAAGTTGTTGCTTTGGTGTTTGTCTTGCTAAGATGCTCTATCACAGTTTTACCCTTTTAATTCAAATGGACAGCCTAATAATGGGAGTTATGCCTGTTTATCTTCTGCACATACAATGTGAACATGCTTGTGCCCCTTTAATAGCAACTTACCAACTATAGCTGCAAACTTTATTGTGTGATAGAAAATTATAAATACATGGAGTTCAGTGTTTCACTGACATTTAGAGTGCACCTGCAGGCTGGTTGGCTTATTGGAAAGTGCCCACAGGTCATTTACATATTTACATGTCTACCTGTTGGAATAGGTTTGTTTTAGTGTTTAAAAAAAAATAGATGATATTCTTATTTTGTACATTGTTGGTAAAAGTCAACTCTTAGCTGTGCTCAGTAAAATTATTCAAAAACTACCGAGCCCAGTTTCACATAATTTGATGAAAAAATAGAGCAAGGACAAAGAAATTAAATTAAATTGCAGTAGTAACTGTAACAGCATCTTTACAGGTCTACCTAAAAAAATCAGTCAGACAACTACAGCTCATTCAGAGCTCTGCTGCTCGAGTCCTCACTAAGACCAAACAAGTGGACCACATCAGTCCAGCTCTGAGGTCTTTACACTGGCTGCCTGTCCGTCAGAGGATAGACTTTAAAGTTCTGATGCTGGTCTATAAAGCTCTGAATGGTTTAGGACCAAAATACATCAGTGACCTCCTGACCCAGTATGAACCTTCCAGATCCCTCAGGTCATCCGGATCCGGTCTTTTATCAGTTCCCAGAGTCAGAACCAGACACGGAGAAGCTGCATTCAGCTTTTATGCTCCTTATATCTGGAACAAACTCCCAGAAAGCCTCAGATCAGCTGAAACACTCAGTTTATTTAAATCCAGGTTGAAGACTCACCTGTTCTCAGCTGCATTTGAATAAAGCACCAAATCCACACTTTTAAGCTTAAATTTCAAAACTTACATTTTAACTACTGATTTTATCTACTGTTCTGATTTTATCTGTTTTGATTTTATCTGTTTTGTTTGTTTGTTTGTTTGTTTGTTAGTTAGTTAGCTTGTTTTAATCAATTTTAAACCATTGTTTTTGTTTCTAATATATCTGTAAAGCACTTTGAATCACCTTGCTGTTGCATTGTGCTATACAAATAAACTTGCCTAGTTACTGGATGGCTACACTAATCAGTATAACCTTTTCATATCTGTCATAACAGTCAAATTTAGAGTAATTCAGTGTCACAGGGTTGGTAAGAAGCCTGTTGCTCTGCATCAAAAGTAGTGGCAGAGGTAAAAGATCACAAGATCTTCTAACAGGTCACTGCTCACGAGCTGAACTGAAGAGACTGGATCTTCCTTATTTAATGTGACAGCCAGCTGTAGCGTGTTGATGCTGTCAGCTCCTGGATCTACAGCATCGCACAACAACAAGAGGCAAAATTCATTGCTAAATAGGATGACGAGGACTCGAGAGTCTTCTTTCTTCATCCGTGCTTTTCAGAATCTACTAGATTGTGACACTGAATACAAGTGTGTGTGTTTTTCTTTCTGGTAGCAGTGTGTGTTTGCGTCATTTACACTTACTATTCTCTGCTGCCGCTGCTTTTTCCTCAGCCTGATGAACTCCTTGTGTTGCCTTGAGACGAAGTTAACTGCTGCATACTCCAGAAGGGCAGCAAACACAAACAAAAGGCACACTGCCATCCAGATGTCAATGGCCTTCACATAAGACACCTGGAAAAGGACAAGGTCACAGTGTAATCAATAGCCGATCAATAAGGCTGATGGATAATTTCGTTTGTTGTTCACAGTCGGCCCGTTCTGGCTCTGCGCTATAATGACATACATCTTTGGGATGGCCTAGAATTCGAATGAGTCAGTGGGTTGTGGGCTGTTGACACAAAGCCATGAGGCAGGTCACAGCTAAGGCTCGGGGAGTCCCCTCGCCGTGTCATTCATGAGAACAGATCTGTCACACCACATCAGCAACACCAACTGAGCAGGCACTCACTCAACTGAGCAGCATTTTACTGACTGTTACAGATACATACAGAGAAGCAAGGGAAAAACAGGGATTGACAAACAGTTTCTTTTAAATGACTCCCTGTGGCTCAGGAGGTGGAGCGGGTCAGAATAAGCTGCTGTAATGTTATTGTGAATAAGTAAATGTGGCTTTAATAGTCAAAAGACTAAAAATGTGCTGTATAGATGTCAGCCCATTTACCACATAAAGACAAAATAAAGATTTTTTTTCATTTCCATTGACTTAACTTTGGTGGGCACAGCCAGCACAACTTTGTAGGAGTAATAACAGGACGAGACAAATTCTGGTTTCCGTCAAACTCTCACTGAAGTGTCTCAGGAACTCAGTACATGCTCAGTTTAATTCAGCTCAAATCTGGGACAAACTGCAGTCATCAAATAGATAAGTGCCGATTAAGGTTGTGTATAGATCTGAAATGCCTGACATAGTGTGTCTGATGCTTTTCTTGTGATAGTCACAAGGTCTTCGCATTAAATCTAGACTCATACAGACCAATTACACGTAAAATGTCTTTTACAGACATTGATTCTCTGATATCTCATGAAACATTTGATTTGTCTTGTCAGGTATTATCAGGAAAGTTAATGGTTTTTGTAAATCCTGCATCACTTTTTCAAGGATATGTCTGAAAATGTCAGAATAGTGTTCACAATGCCATTTATTACATATGTTTCACTTGGTCAATGACCTTTTTCTGGAGCTGATAGCATTATGTAATCCTATTTCCTCTCATACTTTAAGTTTTTGGACAAATCTGGGAATATTATTAGTTTCAAAATCTGTTCATTTGTTTCTGAGGATAATATTTCAGGTCCTGTGGGAGAAAAGTTATTTCTTTGCACTTTGCTGACATTTTAGATGTGATTTATTCCATCTCAGATCTTCTAATTTTAGAAGCAACATGCTAAATCCAGCAGACCGATATGTTTATTTTAAACTTCATGTGCTAACAGCTGTCTAAATGACTCGGGTAAAGTTTGTAGCATGCGTGCTTGTTGTTTTTGTCTGCTTCCACTTGTCTTTGCACTAAGATTATGTCGGAGTAAATGTGCAGTCATATTCGTTGTGTTCCCACTAGTGCTGTCAGCGTTAATCTGAAATGATGTTAACGCCACAACCCGGCAAATCTCCGTTAACGAGCTACCTCGGATCGCCCCGTGCTTGGGGCTGGACGGTCAACACGTAAACGAGCTAACTGCGCTAACAC